TATCGTTTAGGTAATTATCAAAATAATTCTATTTTGGTTTTTAACGAAAAGAAATTCAATCGTTAATGCTGAAGCTGTAACATGCATTTAGGTGCTAGGTGTTAACAGTTAGCTAGCAATGACATACAACAACAGATTTTCGTTGATTTATTTTGTTTCAATTAGTCTGTTCGAATACATAGAACTCCAGTGAAAAATATCTAGCAGAAACTTGCAGGAGAGTGAACGATTATCTCTCAAATTTAAAAATATCCAAAAAAGGCCGCGGGTTCAAATCCCGCCACATGCAATCCTTACTATATTAGGTTTGTATAGTAACTTCTCCAGTAAAACATTGCAGCGAGAGCGTAAAAGCAAAATAGAGCGTAAAATTGAGAAGAAGAGAAAAATAGCAGGAAAAGTTAATGAATACAAAACTAGCAAAAACTTGCAAGTGAACAGTCGTTGCACTGTTTTGACANGTGCAAATGTCTGCTATTTAAAGCCCAATTTATATCGGGAAGAATTGCAATCCTTACTATAGTACAAATGTGTGCTATTTAAAGCCCAATTTATATCGTGAAGAATTGTTAATCACATTATCCTCGTAATGTGAATTTATGTCTTTCAATATGTTACTAGGGTTCTGGATATCGAGTAGAAAATATCGGTATCGAATGCCAAAAGTATCGATGTTGTATCGTATCGTATCGAAGTTCGTGTCCCTATGCATGACTAACAACCATGTAGGGTGGTAAACGGACTTTCCCATTGNCAAATGTCTGCTATTTAAAGCCCAATTTATATCGGGAAGAATTGCAATCCTTACTATAGCACAAATGTGTGCTATTTAAAGCCCAATTTATATCGTGAAGAATTGTTAATCACATTATCCTCGTAATGTGAATTTATGTCTTTCAATATGTTACTAGGGTTCTGGATATCGAGTAGAAAATATCGGTATCGAATGCCAAAAGTATCGATGTTGTATCGTATCGTATCGAAGTTCGTGTCCCTATGCATGACTAACAACCATGTAGGGTGGTAAACGGACTTTCCCATTGGTCACAGTGCCTATCCAGCTTTTTTGCTCTAATAAACATTCTTTTTTTTATATACATACATGCAAACATACTGGTCTCCCCTCTCACTAAATTATTCATTGGTCCTTCGAGCCGGATATATGCAGCTTATGTTATATCCATTAGACTACCAATTCGCCTAGGGGGCCGGTATGTTTAGGCGCGTCTTCTAACACCAGGCGACTAAACGTATGCTATGTACTGCTGCATGTGCAAAAATTTCCTTNTATTATTCATTGGTCCTTCGAGCCGGATATATGCAGCTTATGTTATATCCATTAGACTACCAAGTCGCCTAGGGGGCCGGTATGTTTAGGCGCGTCTTCTAACACCAGGCGACTAAACGTATGCTATGTACTGCTGCATGTGCAAAAATTTCCTTTATGCACTACCATTGCACTGTAATTGAACTTTCTTCCAGGCCAGGTGGAAGGCCAACATTTTTTGGGAGAAACGAAATCACCATTCATGTTTTCTTAAGTATTTCACTACTTATGCAGGATTTCCACTAGGCATTAAATTGTCATTAAGTTCATTTCCACATGGCATTTTGTTAATGGCATACATTTTTTGTCATTTCAATGCCTAGTGGAAATTCGGTATTACACACTAGGGGTATTCTCTGAGTCTTGCAAAGCCCTTGCACGGTGCACGGATTGCACGGTTTGCAAAGCCGTCCCATACGAAAACCGGTTTTTACCGTGCAATCCGTGCAATCTGTGCACCATGCAAGGGCTTTGCAAGACTCAGAGAATACCCCTACTGCGTTTTTCTATACCTACATACTAATTTTTCGTAGCGCTATTTTCGAATCTGGGCATTTATTTTTTTTAAATTAAAAAAAAAATGTAAATGCTGTAATCACTTTTTTTAAAGGTAGAAAAGGTAAAAAGGCAATTATCTTAAAAAAGGCAACATCAAATGTGTATATATGGAATCAGGGAAAGCTAAAAAAAGACGATTTCTATAAAATCCGTTCCCTGTTCATAAACAATCAAGTTGTTCCCCAACAAGACAACATTAAGTATTTTGGTATCCATTTGGATAAGAGATTACGTGGTGTAAACACATTGAGGCGAAAGTCACAACTATTAAACTCAAAATGCACAGATTAAACTGAATGATGAACCCGAAATCTGCGCTATCTTTTAAATACAAAATTCTATTATATAAAGCGGTGCTCCAACCGGTTTGGATGTACGGAATTGAAGTCCATAAGCGACAATTTAGTTTAGCCTTCCCGCTTCCACCGTCGTACTAACCCAGGCCAAGCATTATACTACACCAATTGTAATCTTGCACCCAACAGCTTTAATTTGAAAAGTAAACGATTTTCAAGCAGCGGCAAGGAAAATCTCAAACTTTTAGTTCTTAAGAATTGCATAATTATTGTTAGTTTCGTTAAGAAACATCCAATAAATAAACAATTGTTAATAAAAAAATGATCACAAAGGAAACGAAGTCAATTTTTTGAATTTTTTTTCGATCGTCCAGACGATGAATTGTAGCGTCTTCTAAGCACTCCTGACATTAAGCGCCTAATCATAGTAGTGTAATCTTTTCGACATACTATTAAAGCAAGCTTTTGTGCCGAGATCTGTACATTAATCTTCATAATTAAATTCGTGCTTTATCTATGCTTTGAGACAGTGACTCTATTGTTGGAAATTATTCTTAGCAATTTTAATTTCCAGCAAACGATTATAAAATTGAATACAATTGAATAAATAAATTCGTACTCAGTATGCCGTGTTCTTGTGGTCAAAAAGTTGATCGTAACAATAAGCAGAAAGTGCTGTGTGCTAAGTGCAACGACCTCTTTCAATTAAAATGTGTAAATTTTCAATTGACGATTTCGATTTTCTGCTTACAACAAATAAACATTTCTTTTGCGAAATGTGTTCGGTTAAGCGCGTACATCTGTTTGTTCTCCGCCTCCATTCGCTTTTTCTAATGCCGAAAAAACAATTGAGCATTGTGACAATTCGAGTGAGATCATAAATGATCAACAAGTAACTTTGCTTGATATCGCTAAAGACATTATAGGCCAATATCTAAGTTGTCGACATGCTCCAAACTCTTTGAGACAGTAGTTACAGATAAGCTAGCCTTTGCTATTAAAGGAATAATAGACCCATGTCAGCATGGGTTTATTGGTGGACGGTCAACGGTTACGAATCTAGCTGTGTTTTCCTCAGTTTTGTGTTTCCGCGTTTAAAAGTGGGTATCAAGTTGACACAATTTTCACCGATTTTTCGAAAGCGATTGAGACAGTCTCGCACAAATTACTTCTGTTGAAGGTCGAAAATTTGGGTTTTCATTCAACTTTTCTATCATGGCTTAAATCATATTTGTCAAACAGAACCTCATTTGTTGAAATTGAGAATACTAAATCCTATACATTTATGGCAATTTCTGGTGTGCCCAAGGCAGCATCCTTGGACCTATTCTATTTATCCTTTTTATTAATGATGTTGGTCTACGCTTTAAACATTCAAATTATTTAATCTATGCAGACGACTTGAAACTCTTCCGTAAAATCTCCTGTTTATCGGATACATTGTTGTTGCAGGAAGACTTGAACGTTCTTACTGATTGGGCTCTCCCAAATAAACTGCGTCTCAACACCAGTAAATGTTTCGGGATTTTGGAGTTATTTTCGACTCGTCCTTTACGTTCGGTAACCACGTTAATTTTATTATTCCGAAGGCTTATGCTAACTTAGCTTTTCTGCGACGCTATGCCAGTGATTTCAAGGACCCTTACACAAGAAAAATCTTATATCATTCTTTTGTGCCTTCGAAGTTGGAGTATGCTTCAGTCAGAAATCTATGATTTATTATGTTTCAACCACATACGCCAAATTCGAACCAAATCGGACCATAAATACCGTTTTTCGAAATATCTCGACCTTGGCACCACCTAGGAAGACCATTTTATGCAAACATGATTCTACTTACATAGCCAGTATATATTTTAAAAAGCAGACAAATCGGCCCGTAAATACGTTAGATATAAAACTTTTATTTTTTTTGTCGTGGTGGACCTTCCGGTGGAAACACCCATATACAACGCTTTTATAAATGGACTAAAAATTATAAAATAAAATAATGTAAACAAAAAATATTTTTTTAAAAACAAGCTTTTATTTAAAGTGCACAATCAAAGGAATAAAATGAAGTAGTGTAACAAAAGATTTTTTAGCAAGAAAATTTTGTAAAAACTGCGCTAAAATGAATAAAATAAAGTAAGTTAAGGTACCGTTAAAGTTACTAAAAGCCATTTAGTGAAAGGAGTTATTCAAACTCTAATGAAAATTACTAACAATTTGTACTAATTTACATCGTTTTTAAGAGCGCTTGTCGGCGAATTCAGCGTACATGCATAATTGGTTAGGTATGTATGTATGCAGATATTTAAATGCCGGTTTGCTATTCACGCGACAAGCTTTTTTAAAAACGAAGTAAATTAGTACAAATTGTTAGTAATTTTCATTAGAGTTTGAATAACTCCTTTCACTAAATGGCTTTTAGTAACTTTAACGGTACCTTAACTTACTTTATTTTATTCATTTTAGCGCAGTTTTTACAAAATTTTCTTGCTAAAAAATCTTTTGTTACACTACTTCATTTTATTCCTTTGATTGTACAGGTTAAATAAAAGCTTGTTTTAAAAAAATATTTTTTTTACAGTATTTTATTGTATTTGACTTTCGTCAGTTTTTGTCGATATCTCAAATGAAAAATAGAGGAAAAAACGTGGCATCATGCGGGCTTAAGCTTCAGGATTCGGTGACACATCTAACCCCTTACACCCCCTGCCTAAGGCCCTGTTGTTAAGTATTTGGCCACACAAATGGCAAATGGTTTTTATGAGAAGAATTTTTTTGGTAGAAGTACAATTCGAGAATTAAAATGTTTAGCTATTCCGAAAACATACCTTTGTCGATATGGAGCCAGCAACAGCTTTGTAACAGTGCTTACTGGTTGACAAATAATGCTTGGTGTGATAATTTCCAGTGGTTCGGTCTCTTCGATAGGTGATTTAATCTGAAATACTTTATTAATGTAGCAAAACATACATATATTAACGTATTATAATAAAAATTACTAGAAACAAATATTCGGCCAGTAGCTGAGCTTTTGAAACGTTATCTCGGGTTGGTGAAAACGTTAATGAATCATATTCTTTATAACCCCAACGCATTGACTTCAAAATGGATTCCAGCTCGCTAAAAAAAATGAATTGTTATCATCAAAACATACGATAAAACAGTAAAAAATTATTATTAGAGGCTTCCCTTCAATCAAAAAAGAAAATCTAATTTATGAGTAACTGCCAGTATTTAAAGCATTTAAATTTGAATATTAAATACTTAGGTACTTGTTCTCAAATCTGTTTGTGATTAGCAGGTATGAGAATGAATTTTAGGTGTAAAAATCGCAATGTTATCCTTATGGGAAAACCAAAATATCCTCGTTTATAACTTTTTAAATAGCCTAGCTGGCGAGATGGGGATTTCACATACACATGGAATAGAAGTTGCAGAATATGATAGCATATATAATTCAATTCTCTCTTAAGTCGACTTAGGCGGTTATTGCTTATGACCACAGCACTAGGGTTTAAGATGTACCTTCACCTTCGTCCTTATATTAAGCATTTAAATTCACCTTTATTTTGTTTTGGTCTTTACGTATATATTTTTATTTTTATATTTTCTTTTATCCTCTCTTCGTCTACATATTCATCTATCCTTCATTGCATTTATCCTTATCTAAACTTCATTTTTAAATCGCTGCTTAACACACTTCTAATTCCCTATCATATTTCTGCCCCAAACCATTTCCGTTGCATTCGCCTAAAAGTGTGTTAATTCGTACTTATTCAGAACTAGAATACATGTTTTTCGTAAAATTTTACTATGGATCACGTAAGAAAAAAAAGCTCAAAATGCATTAGCTACACTGCTACTCACTATTTATTTTTGTCGATACAGTGTAAAAGTCAGTTCAATGTATAAAGAAACAAAACAAAAAAAAAAAAAAATTGCCAATGCCCTACGGCATTCCATTGAAAATTCTGTCAAAAAGCTGCAACTAACTTTAGAGTTGACTTCATTTTGACAATGAAGACACCCCGTTTCGTCGAGCGCTTTTTCCTATTTCTTAATTCTTTCCAAATAATAGATTTTTCAAGGCCTCCAAATCAGCATTCGTCTCAGTGATGACCAAAAATCTCTTCCCGCCCAACCATTTCTTTGGGCTTGGAAATTGAAAATAGTCTTATTCTTCTTCTTTATTGGCGCTGTAACCGCCTAAGCGATTTTGGCCGAGTCCAAAACAGAATTTGGTTTGTCTTAACGACACCACTATTAAACACCAAAAATACGCTCACGGCCGTGGATGTCGCTATGGCTGATTCAGAATTAGCATCGGTGCTCTCTTGGAAATGTTCCCTAGAAGGAAGTGACCACTTCCCAATTTTCATTTTTAAAGGTATCACTACTGGCTTAAAAAAATTTAAACCAGGTTTTGTGGATGGTAAAGCAAACTGGGAACTTTTTGCAAATAAAACCGAAGAAATAAATAGTAAGTTTATTGAATCGGTTAATATTAACCAAAAAGCCGCGAATGTAAAGAAAATTATTAGGACGTCGGCAAACGAATCGATGTCAGTCAAAAACAGATAAGTAATCACAATAGACCCGCTTGGTTGAAAAACGCTACGTGGAATACGTACAAACAAAAACGCAGCCAAGTTATCTTAATTAATTACAAAAGATTATGTGCACAATTACACCGGTCATGCAAACAAGCAAAGAAAAATACTTGGGAAAAGTTTGTAAATTCGCTTAACACGTCAGTGGACACAAGAACTTTATGGAGAAAAATAAGAAATACCAAATCCAAACAGAACACAAATTTCCCACCGATATTCACGAACGACAAATGTATAACACACCCGCAGACGATAGCCGACTAATTTGCAAGATTTTGGAGCTCCCTTGGTTCGGATCAATCTTCGACCAACAAATAATAAAAGAAAAACAAAATCTAAAAGTTGAGGCACTTACTAAAGAAAACATAAGCCTAACCTAGCACTTTAGAGAGATAGCATTAAAAGACCTTATTGAAGCAAGAAAAAGTTCAAAAGGCACAAGTCCAGGAATAGACAAAATAAGCTAAGCTTAAGCTCCGACTATGCCGACTGTATAGCAAAATCCTCTATCCGCACTATTGGAGGTTTGCAATTTTATCACTAGTCCCTAAGCCTTACAAGTCCAAACACAGTGGAGAGTGTCGTCCCATTTCACTCATCTCGGTATTAGCGAAAGTTTTTGATAAAATCATAGCCCGGAAAATACGCGAACATTTTAATGCTTTTCTCCCTCCAGAGCAACACGCCTTCTTACCACAGCACGGGGTTCACACCCTTTGTCATACTTTGGAAACAGTGCTCAAAAGTAATATAAAAAGAAATTACCACAGTGTCGTACTCTCAGAAGACATAGAAAGGGCTTTCTATAGGGTCACAGCCACAGTGACTATAGAAGAGCTGGCAAGTTAGGGGTTACCAAGCCAAGTTCTATAAACAGTCTACTCGTTCATGTCACACAGGAGGTTATCAGTTCCCGTTGATGGCCTTATTTCAAAATACCTAAATCTTGATAATGATTTACCAAAGGCTCTCCCCTATCAGCTGTGTTATTCACAGCATACTCCTGCCCACTAATCAAGCAGACAAAAAAAAAAACACAGACGGTATTGACTATATAGAGATATACGCAGCCAACATTTTTGCGCTCTCCTCTGGTTCTTCAGAGCAAATAAACAATAGTCTAAGTGACCTCAATAATAAAATACAGCAATGGGATAAAAATACAGGAGCGGTAATACCACTAACCAAAGCAGAAGCTTAACATATTTGTAGAAAACACAAGTGTTGTCTCTCAGGAATAAATATTGGTAATAAATATATTGCTTTAAAAACCAAATTGACAATCCTGGGAGTCACGTTCTCAAGAAATGCGTCGTGGAACGAACACATTAACGCCATTTGCGATAANTCACTAATCAAGCAGACAAAAAAAAAACACAGACGGTATTGGAACGAACACATTAACGCCATTTGCGATAAACTCAAAAGTCAACAATCTCCTAAAAATCTTTTGCACCAGAGAGAAAGGACCACACATAGACACAGCAATTTCCATCTGCAGAGCTATCACTGGGNGTCAACAATCTCCTAAAAATCTTTTGCACCAGAGTGAAAGGACCACACATAGACACAGCAATTTCCATCTGCAGAGCTATCACTGGGGGCATAATTCAACATGGGCTGACTATATACGGATAGACATCCGAAAAAAACAAAGCAAAAAACGCTGCCTTGAGCAGATGCTTCCGGACAGCGTCAGGACTACTCCCCGCTACACCCAACGGTTTTTACCCTCCATTCCCGCCCATCCGCACGAGGGGGGCAGTCCGCATGACGTACGGAACCCGTGTTTTCAATTTTCGCCCGAGTCACGATAGGCAGGAGTTTGTTATGTGTCGAGATCTAAAACTGTTCAGCTACAGAACTAAATTCATCAGCTGTTTTATGTCTTTATGTTCAAACGTGTTGGAATGAGAGTTAAACTCCTGGCATAAGCAAAGGAGTGGGTCGTGCATTCAAAATTAGTTTTACGAGCTTTCAGAAATTGGGGACAAAAGTCTCTTGATACCCGGGAGGGAATATTAAGGCTAACTTCGCCCAGAAGAAGCGGACGTGAAATTGAACCTGTCAGTAATTCAACTATAAAAATTGTACCAAGCATTTGCCTGCGACTGGCAAGTGTAGGAAGATTAATAAGTTTTAATCGGCTCGTATAAGGCGGGAGGTTATATTGAGAATCCCAACGGAAATTTCTTTAAGCAAAAAGTAGGAATTCTTTTTGAATTGATTTTATCTTGTCTGAGAAAATTTAATACCTAGGATTCCAAACCACCGAACCAGAATCTGTCTAACTAATGTTGTAAAGAGGGTTTTAGTGATATAAGGGTCACAAAATTCTTTTGACCATCGTTTCACAAATGCAAGTACACCTTTAGCCTTGTTGACTGCCACATTAATGAGAAGATTAAAATTAAGCTAAGGATCCGTTGTGATACCAAGGACCACAAAATTGTATACCTGTTCCAGGTTATGGTTACATATTCGCTCTTCGCGCGAAATACATTACTTTACATTTCTTAAGATTTAAAGACATAAGATTTACTTTACACCAGTAAGCCATGCTGTTTAAGTCTGATTGTAGCAAAGACCTTTCTTTAATTGAAACGAACGATTTATAAAGCTTTACATCATCTGCATACATTGAAATCTTGGAAAATCGTATATCTGTAGAAATTTTTTTTTTTAGATTGCCGCTTACACATATGTTAGTGTTTGGCCGAGCTTCTTCTCAGACTTGGGGCGTGCGCCTTGATGTTGTCACACAAAGCGGAGGGACCTACCGTTTTACGCCGACTCCGAACGGCGACTGTATTTTTATGAGAAGCTGTTTTTCATGGTAGAAATACACTCGAAGTTTTGCCATTGCCTGCCGAGGGACGACCGCTGTTAAGAAAAAACCTTTTTCTATATTTTTGGCGATGCTGCTTTGACCAGGGTTTGAACCCATGTGCTGATGAGTGAAAGCGCGCACTGCTTACCACTACACCACAGCGGCCGACATATCTGTAGAAATATCGTTTATAAAAAGCAAGAACAGAACCGGGCCTAGGTGGCTAACTTGGGGGACTCCTGAAGTAACATCAATGACGTCAGAGATGGTATTTCTAAACATTACCCTTTGTGATCTATCATAGAGGTATGAAGAGATCCGAGAGAGAGAGAACGTAGAAAATTAGGTGGAAGACGAAGAAGATCAAGTTTATAGATGAGCAACGAGTGGCACACTTTGTCAAATGCTTTACTGAAGTCAGTATATATAACATCAACAGTTTTGCTTTCCCTAAATGCTTATATAGGAGCTATAGGATGTTAATTCAAGTAAATTTGTAGAAGTTGATTTGCCCTTGCAAAATCCATGTTGACTGTATGAAATGCTTGAAGTGATAGAATGCGTCAACCGATTTGTTATANTTAGGTGGAAGACGAAGAAGATCAAGTTTATAGATGAGCAACGAGTGGCACACTTTGTCAAATGCTTTACTGAAGTCAGTATATATAACATCAACAGTT